TAACCAATGCTGAAACACACCGATGATGACGTTGAAAAATGTATATAAGGGTCGAGGAAAACTTGTGCAGTCAAATCAGTCTTCAAGATCCTTGGTTGTTGTGCGAGATTTTTGGTTTTCAGTAGTGCGTCTGCCTTTGGTTTGTTGTGCATCTGTTTAAGGGCCGACCAGTGGCCTAGTGGTCTTCGTACCCTGAACACTGGGAGTTCGGTAGCGACTTCTCACCTCGCTCGAACGGGCTGGCCACGTGGAGTTTTCCGGGTTTTCTCCACGTCCTTAACGCCTAAATAGGGGCCAGTTTCCCTTAAAAGACCTCCCGGAAGGCACCCTCCCAGGCAGAACACCGAAGTGTTGGTCTGCCATAATCAAACAAACAAACAGCATCTACAGTACAGCATCGATTATCCGACCCCCGATTAACCGTCGCATCGGTTAACCGACCGTCTAGTCGGCAAATCGATCGATCGATCGTTTTGAATATAATTTAAAATATTTCGAAAAAAATTATTGCTCTTGCCTTTCTGATTACTATACCTATATTTTCGACTGACACGTCACACTTGTTTGCATCTTCGGAGCATCTTACTTTCTTCTCTCTACCGTGGAGACAGTTAAGCGAAGTGTTGAAATTAAAAAATCGGCAAATATTTTCAGATGGTTGGCAATAATTTTGTGAAATATATTTTTCCAGCTATAAAAGTGACAACGAATAAACAAATAAATAATTAATTAATCAAATAACTGATTAATATTTGTAATTGTTATCAAAATTGTAAATTGCTATGTGTTCGAATCATGTAAAGAAAGTGATTTTCTATTACGTCCACCGTAGCATTTTTTTTTATTGGCTGGCATTATTTTGACGAGCGCACAAGTTAAAGAAGATTGCCAACGAACTAGAGTAGACCAGCCGCCAGTAGCAACTGAAAAGCAGCAACAACAAGAATTATTCAAACAGCAATGGCGTGCGGTCATTGGAAGCGGCGGATGCGCCGTTCCCTTGTTTTTTCTAAAAAATAAATACAGTAGATCCTCGAAACTCGGCACTCGATAACCCGGCACTCCGGATAACTCGGCCACACCTTGGCAGGGCAAAAATATCCTTAGATAATTAATTTTCATCATAGACAGTTTTATGCCTCATAAAGTATTTTTCTGAGGTCTGTCTTATCAAGTAAATTACTGTACACATTATTTAAGTAAATTACTGTATTCATTAATTTTCATTTTCATGTAGTAAAGGCTCTATGCCTTCATAAAGGACGTACTTTTCCTTTTTTAACGGTATTTAGGCAGTTTATTCTCTGTTGTATTCTCAAGCAAACAATACAAGTACAGTACAATACTTTCTGAGGAAACACGCATACTTATCCTTTTTTAAATAGTGAGTTGTTCTTCCGTTGATGTGCCACTGTGCTGTGTGGGAGCGTATTAACTAAATCAATGTCTATGTTATCAGTGGTGGATAAGGAAGTGTCTGTAGTATCAGTAATGGTATTTGTTGTGTGTGTGTGTACTATTATCAGTGCTTATGCTAGATTATCCTGACAGGTTACGTATTAATGTTAAATGTTTCTGTCTGTTGATGTATTTGATAAGCAACCTGTTGTTTGATATGTTCTAGTGTTGTTTGTGGTGTAAGGTTTTGCGTATAATTGTTTTTTTTTTATCAACAACCTTTTGTTCGGTGAAAGTGAGGTGAGGATGTTGTTATGTGAATCTATGATGTAGTTGTTGGCTGTATGTTATCATGTTTGCTTCGAGTTTTGTAATGGTGTAGTAAGTACAGATCATAAACTCGTTCATTTCTGGTTTCTATTTCATCCGTTGGCGTGGTTTTTCAGGCTTTGTGGTCTGTGTATGCATTGCTACACAAACACCAAGGATAGGTTAGTTCCTCACATGTGTTGAGCACATTGCAGTAGCCATGCTTGGGCCGGCGCAGCTTTCGCCACCGGTAACCAAGGGAGACTGTGGCCTATTTTTCGAACGTGAGCCTCTGCCTAACCCACGAACTCAGACCTTGTTAACCTGGGCGACGTCCGAACCGGTATCACACTTAGATCTGGTTACTACCATGATAAATACTTCCAAAGAAAGTGGGCGTGGTCACTTTAAGTTTAATTTCTCCCTATAGACCTTACTGGCATGGGTATCCCTATCAGGAACTTATGCTCCAGCTCTATGGATTAGTAAAATTACTGGGCAATTCTACCACGACCAGGTGGTGACCACAGGAGAGTTATTATGTTTGATATTGTAAGTTATACTTGGTTAACACCGCTGGCTGTGTACTATGCCTGGACCAGAATGAAGGCGTAGAAATGAAAAAAAAATTTAAAAAGGGTTTCAGAGTGTGTGTCTGTATTGAAGAATTTCCTAACAATATGACATGTTTATTATTATTATTATGATTAAGCGCACAGCACAAACGGTTAAGAGTTGTAAGGTGAAACTTTAAAAGAAATGCAGATGGCCAGTGGAAAAGGTGTTTGTTACGGTTAATAAATAAATTAAGTATTAATTATTTTTTAATTAAGTATTTTATTTATATGTATGACTGTTTGTTTGGATGTTTGTTCGCTATACACTCATAGGCCGTTCGACCAATTGCTACGAAGATCGGTAGTTACGTTTATATACCGCTTACTTAGATAATGTCGAAATTCCATTCCAAAACATCTATTGGATTTATGTAAATCAATTAAATTCTATCTGCATTTGAATCTCTAGTTTATACGTAGCGCGATCTATTAGCAAGAAATTTAACAAAATAATAAACTAAATTCAATGTTTAAAAAAAACATATAACTTTAAAAATATATATATTATATTTACTTAATTACTGTGACAATGATATAACGCGAAATATACGTGCTGTCATTACTGTGACGTTTTTTTTCTCCAGTAGTTTTTAAATTATTTAAATTAATTAATAAAAAAATTATAATTATTAAAGTTATTAAGAGATGGCGCCTAACGCCTCCCTCTNGGCCTCAACCTCGCTAATAAGCGCTGAGTCACAAACGGTTTGGAGTTGAAAGTTAAAATTTGATACACAGTTATGTCATGAGAACATACACCAAGAAGGAATTTTGGAGATTCCTACCCTGGGGGAGGGAGAGGGTTAAGGATTATCCTGAAGAACTCTGCTTCTACTGTACTATTATAGATGAGGTTTTTTGCGCTTTTGTAGAAAAGCAAGCATATCTTTAGACTAGTTATTATGCCTTTTTGTCCTTTTTTACACTATTTATAATTTATTTTGTATACTAGTACATTCTATATATTAACAGGACTTATTATACTGGAATTATGGATGCAGATATTTAGTCTTACAGTTTAAAAATAATGTTCTTAATTTAGGTTAACTTAATAAAGAACATTATTTTTAAACAGTAACACTAAATATCTGCATCCATAATTCCAGTATAATAAGTCCTGTTAATATATAAAATGTACTAGTATACAAAATAAATTATATCTTTAGACTATCTGAAAATTCTCTGATTAGTCTGGAAGGAGGGTGGACCTAATTCTTGCACCCGGTGGACACGGGTAAGAATGGATATGTTATGGACAAAGTGATTAATACGGGCATTATGAATAATGCCCGGGCATTATTCATAATGACCAACAAAATCGGGCATTGTAATAAATTTCAAGAATTTATCAAATTGACCGGTCATTATGAATACTGCTACCACCTAGTCGGGCAAAGTGATAATAATAGGTTGAGGAGTGATCATCCGACATACGTTAGCCAATCAGAACTTACATCTTACTTGCGCATGCGTATTGCATTTAGTACCGAATTTTAAATTTATGTGACCAGTAGTTAATCTTTCTTCTTTGACAAAAGTAACGATCATGGAGGAATCATTAAGTTATATGAATAATCGCTTCAACAACCGATTAAACGAGTTAATAGAAGAAAAAGGTGAGAACAATCAAATTTTTACAAAATCAGCATATTTGTCAATGATACGAAAAGTGAAAGAGTCAAAAATGAAAGTTACTTCTAAGTTACCCGAAGAATATCAGCGTTTACGTAGATATGACGTTGTATCTATCGGAAATTTAGAAAAATTAATTATGCCTGTAAAAGAAGATAATGCGATTAAATATTACGTTCACACGGAAGAAATATTTCAGATATTGCACGATGCCCATATTGCTATTGGACATGGCGGTAGAAACCGTATGGAAAAAGAATTAAGTACGAAATATAAAAATATTACAAGAGAGATGATCATAATTTACTTGAACTTGTGTGAAATCTGTCAGAAAAAAAAGAATGTTCCTAAGAAAGGCTTGGTAGTTAAACCAATTTTATGTAATAAAATGAACTCGAGATGTCAGGTCGATCTTACAGATATGCAGTCACAAGCCGATGAGGAATATAAATTTATACTCGTGTATCAAGACCATCTAACTAAATTCGTTCAACTACGACCGTTAAAAACCAAAAGGGCTGAAGAAGTAGCACATGTTCTTTTAGACATTTTTACAATTTTCGGTGCACCGAGTATTCTACAAAGCGATAACGGCAGAGAATTCGCCAATAATATCATCAAAGAAATGTGTAATATGTGGTCCGAGTTAAAAATGGTGCATGGAAAGCCCAGGCACTCACAAAGTCAGGGTTCAGTAGAAAGATGTAATCAAGACGTAGAAAATATGCTTAGTTCTTGGTTGGAGACTAACAATACTAACAAATGGTCGGAAGGGTTACGTTTTGTACAACTGATGAAAAATCGAGCGTATCATACTGGTATAAACTGCAGCCCCTATGAGGCCATGTTTGGAGCAAAGTTAAAAGTTGGACTAAAGAATTTTATACCCAACGAATATTTGATCAACGTTAATACGGAAGAGGATCTAGAGAGACTTTATAAAACTATCGACGAAGTAAGTCAAAGTTGCTCAAACTCTGAAAGTCCAGGTACCGTCCAAGAAAACATTATGAAAGATTATTTGATAATGCCACCCTTACATAGCAATATAACTGATGAAGTTCAAAGATCTACATCGCCTTTACGTGAAAAAAATCTAAACCAGGATGTTATTAGTATTACAGAATTGGTGAATGAAGAAGAAGAAACAATCGAAACAGTTGATCCAAAAATAGAAGAAAAAAAAAGAAGTGTGTCTAAAACAAGGGAGATGGCTTTGTTTAATCTTAAAAAGCAAGCAGAAAAAATGATTAATACATCAAATTCCAAATACACAGCAGCTAATGTTGGTGATACAGTAAGGATTCGTGTACCTGATGTAGATCGAGCCCGCAGTGATGGAAAAAATATTTTAGGTGTCGTTGTTGCGGTTAAAGATAAAAACCTTTACAAACTGG